TCCTGTTCAAGCCTAACCTTATCCTGCCACCTCTTTTTCTCCCCATTCTCCCACCAGTACATTCTCTCTGTACTAGAGCCCTCCTTCCCCACCTCTAATCAATGACTACTCATGGGAGTAACCTTCAGCTCTGGTCAAATGTCAGTTGTTGTTGTTCTTGTTTCTATCTACCTGCTTATCAATCTCCACTATGCCCTATTCCTGGCCACATGAAATTCAAATGCTTCTGCCTACTCTTTCCTCAAACAATTTAACAAGAAACAGCCAGCGTTTTATACCACTTTCACCTGTGTTAATTGACTTTGTCTCTGTGACATGGATTTATTGGTAGGACAGGAATTAACAACAGTCTTATTTTATAGATGGGGAAAATGGGTAAGGAGATTTACCCAAGGCCACATACTTTACCTATGGCAGAGCCAGGACTAAGCATGGATGAGAGGTTTTTAGTCCAGGGCTTTTGGCTGCACATTCCTGCCTCTCCCCTCGCTCCCTGCTCCCATTCCACCAAACAAATAACTCACCTGGCCCAGGCACAGGATTTTCATAAAAGTCATGCCTTAAACTTAGAATACTCTCCCTGTACCTGCCCAGTGGGGTTCTACACACCCTCTCCACAGCAGCCTCCCCTATGTGACCCTGTCCAGACTGTTCTCACACTCCCTCTCCACCTCCCTAGCACTGAGGTCCAACTACGGATTGTGAATTGGCTTCTGAGCCCCGGCAGGATGTCCAGCAGCTGCCATCACACTGGGAGTTTGTGGAAGGCAGGAACTAAGAAATCTTCCTCCTACTGGATTCCTCCCTTAGCTATAAGAGGAGAGAAGGGGCTGAGAGAGCATCTTCCTACTCCCCTGCTCATCCCAGTGAAAGCAGGAGTCTTAACCTAGCCTTGCCCTCACAACTGACCGTCAGCAGCTTCAGTCCTCCAATTTGTCCAGTATGCCGAAGGTGGGGGCCCCGGCAGAGGTCTACCAGCATGCCACACCTGGGGGAAAGGAGGGAACACTTAGTGGTCTCCAAATTCTTGAGCTTCCGGTGTTCTCCTGGCCTCTAGCAGACAGAAAAAAAATGTAAGAACTGTTTTACAGAGACAGCAAGAGCAATGGGAGATAAAAATAACTTCTTGTTCCCATTATTTTTCTGGAACAACAGACTACCTTCTACCTTCTTTCCCTCATCCCATTTCTGGCCTTCTTTTGTGTATACCTACCTCCCCGTTTCCCTCCATTTTGACAACGCTCACCCATATACTATTGCTGTGGGACCTGTCACTTTCTCCTCAATCAGGCGAAGCTTAAAGGGGTTATCCTGGAAGGGGAGAAGAGTGAGGATAAGTCTCTATTCCCATAAAGATGTTCTGGGAGAGGGGTGTCTGGGTGGCTCAGTCAGTCGAGTGTCCAACTTCAGCTCAGGTCATGATCTTGCGGTTCGAGACTTTGAGCCCCACGTCAGGCTCTCTGCTGACAGCTCAGAGCCAGGAGCCTGCTTCAGATTCTGTGTCTCCCTCTCTCTGTCTGCCCCTCCCCTCTCTCTGCTTGTGCTAACCCTCTCAAAAATAAATAAACATTAAAAAAATAAAAGTTAAAAAGAAAAAAAAGATGTCCTGGGAGACAATCCCCCCTTCCCCCATGCTTTTGGATCGTCCTCCTAAATGTGTGCACCCCCACCCCACCTTGAAGAGCTGGCGAAGCTGATCCTGGGAAGCCTCTAGCCTCCGGAAGGGTTGAGCAGCAGCTGTAAGTTCCTGGCAAATCCGCTCCAAAGCAGGCAGCTCTGAGCCCCGGACTGTCCTGGAAAGGTGAGAACTGGTTGGCGTTCATCCTTTAAGAAGCATCACCTGGGTGCCACACCTGTTGGCTAGGGGGTGAAACCCTGCTCTCCACAGACATCTAGAATTACTGGTAAAGGCAGACAAACTGACAGAAAACATAAATAGGAAATCAGGTATAAGTTTTACAGTGGGAGCAAAAGCTCTATATGTTAAAGGTCGGATGCAGACAATATGGACAGACATAATTAAGGCAATAGTAATGAAGGATGAAGTAAAAAATAAAAGCCAAAGAATTCATAAAGACTAGAGAAGTTTCAATGAGAATTAAGACAGAAAAGGAAAAGCATGGACTAGGAGAGAAATTGGCACCAATGTCACAGCAAAGGCCTGGAGAGTCCCTTCTCTAAACTTTCTCTTCCAAATTGAACATCCCTGATGCCCCAGAAGAGGATGCAGAAACCACTCGGGTGAAACGGTACAAACTCAGTATAAAATGAATTAGGTTTGAGAAGATAATGTAGAACATAGTGACTATAGTTGATAATTCTATACAGTATGAATGAAATTTGCTAAGAGTAAACCTTAAGCAATCACACACATGAAGTGAGGTGATGAATGTACTATTTAACTCAATCGTGGGAATCCTTTCACAATGAATATAAATATCAAATTATCAGCTTGTTCGCTTTTTTTATTTTTAAAAGTTTATTTAAGGAGCGCCTGGGTGGCTCAGTCAGTTATGCATCCAACTTCAGCTCAGGTCACGATCTTGAGGTCTGTGGGTTTGAGCCCTGCATCGGGCTCTGTGCTGAAAGCTTGGAACCTGGAACCTGTTTCAGATTCTGTCTCCCTCTCTCTCTGCCCCTCCTCCACTCATGCTCTGTCTCTGTCTCTCTCAAAAATAAACAAACATTTAAAAAAAAGTTTAAGTAATCCTCTACAACCAACATGGGGCTTGAATTCACGACCCTGAGATGAAGAGTCGCACGCTCTTCTGACTGAGCCAGGCGCCCCTCACGTTGTACACTTTTAATATATTACTTTGTCAATTAAATTCCAAAAACCTGACAAATGAAATAAAATATGGTGAAATATCTAAGAAACCACTCCAGAATCATTCTCCTCTTTGCTTGCACTACTCACCGTTCCTTTCCCAGGAAGAAATCATGGTAGAAGCCACATTCTGTACTTGGACCTCGGCAGAGGACAGCACCAAGGAGCTGTTCAGCTGCTGCTCCCAGGACATGGGTGCTGGAGTGCCAGAACACCTGGGTTCACAAGAAAGGAGTTCATAACCACCGCCTTTGTTTTTTTATTTTATTTTTTTTCATAACCTCCTTCTTTAACCCCTCACTCTCTGATACTCTTCTCAGAGAAGCTGGCGTGAAACCAGTATGGCTCTTCTAGAAATAACTATCACAAGATGGGGAATCTGACCTTGAAGGTGAATACTAACTAAACAGTAAAAAGGAGGAAAAACTGAAAACAAAAGGCTAGTAGAAACATGCGCAGACAGGGGTAACCCCCACTCCCACTCCTCAGTGCTTCCTGGTCCTACAGCATAGAAGCAGGGCCTAGGCTTCTTTTTCTGCTCCTATAACATCCCCTTTTAGGGCTTCAGAGTAAACTACCTTCTCAAGACCATAGTTCCTAAGGGCTCTATTTGATCTTTTAGTTCTATTTTTTTCTATTCCAGGAATCTAGTGTGATGCAAGCGCTCCTCTAGGATTTGGTCACCATTTATTTATTTGTTGTTTATTTATTTTGAGAGAGAGTGTGTGTATGTGTGTGCTAGTAGGAAAGAGCAGAGAGAGAGACAGAGAATCCCAAGCAGGCTCCATGGTGTCCGTGCAGGGCCGGACACAGGGGTTAATCTCACAAACCAGGAGATCATGACCTGAACTGAAACCAAGACTTAGACGCTCAACCCACTGAGCCAACAAGGCGCCCCTTTGGTCACCATTTAGATGAAGATGATAAAACTCCATTTTTCTGGATCCTAGTAGATGAGGTCTATATTACCCAAGCTGACATGAAGAAGACAAAGTAGGGAGGAGGAATTGTGTGCTCAGTTGTGGAAGCCAAGTTAGAATTAAAAAATATATGCCACAGAGGTGCCTGGATGGCTCAGTCAGTTAAGCGTCCGACTTTGACTCAGATCATGATCTCACAGTCTGTGGGTTTGAGCCCCGAATCGGACTATGTGCTGACAGCTCGGAGCCTGGAGCCTGCTTCAGATTCTGTGTCTCCCTCTCTTTCGAACCTCCCTCTCTCTCGAACCTCTGTCGCCCCTCCCCCGCTCACACCTCTGTCTCTGTCTCTCTCACAAGTAAACAAACATTAAAAAAATTTTATAAAAAAATATATGTTACAGATGACTTATGATGTATGTCTCTAGGGTTGAAGTGACAGAACTGGCATATTACCCTTCTATTTTCAGCTTTCCTTTTTACTAGTGCAAACGATGTTTACTTAATGGACCTATGTTGAAAATTTTCATCCTAAGTTTCTAGCTTATCCAGTGTTAGTCAAGACAAGCAGTCTGTGGTAGGTCTCCCTCCCAACTGCAAAGGGAGAAACTGAGGCAAAAGAAATACTAGAAATATGCCCACTTAAAAATCCCTTAGTTTAGTTGTCACTGTATTCCTGAAAAGGAAGAAACTTACTGCTTTGCCCTCTGCAGAACTGAATGTCAGAAATCTGAGGTCAGAATCTGTCTCCAAAGGCCGTTCCAGATCATAAAGTTCTCCATTCACTTGAGCAGCCACTGCAGTATCTGCCAATGTTGAACTTGGGAATTGGGAGTGGCGGGGAGAAGTGAGGACAAAGAAAAAGACATGGTCACAGTCCACAGGGGAAGACAGGGACTAATCTCTCAATAGTTCTAAGCTTGCAAATGGGGAAAGGTGTCACCAGAGCAATAAAACCTATCATTTCTTTTCCCAATGGATAATAAACAAAGGGTAGAGACTCTGAAACTAACCCAGATGAAAATGAATTCTCATGAAAAGGCGATCTTGATAGAGATGGAATAGATACCAGGCATAATTTTCATTCTCTGCTCGAGTCCAGCGAAATACAGAGGTTGAAGGATGATCCTGGTAGGTACAAAATGGGCTGGTACCTGATCTGCTGGGCTAGCTGGTAAGGGGTTGTGCTCCATGCCACAGCATCCACCCTCTGGCCTCCAGGAAGTGATATCTTAATAGTCCGGTGCTCCTTCTGTGCCACGCTTGCTAACTTCTTTACTTGAGCAGTCCATAGCTCCTCAAAAAGGCCGAGCCGCTCTGCCAACCACTGTGGAGGGGCTGGCACAGCTGCCTGGAGAGAAAGATGTTAGGAGGTAACTCAGGTCCCATCATTCCTTCCTGGGATTGAGGCTGGTAGGAGGTGAGGGTACCGAAGTGGCCTTAATCCTAAACCCAGGCCTTTAAGAGGGCTGGGTGATACAGGGCTCTAGACTAGGAGCCCTAGCCTCTCCTGGTGGTCGACTCTAGGGAAAAGATGGCTGTAACTAACGGCTTAGCGGGGCCGGATTCAGGGGCTCAAGGCAGGGGTTGGGAGCCTGCACTTTGGGCCTGGTCTGGGTCCGATGCGGTTCTTAACTTTTGGGTGGGTACCTCACGCACCGTGTGTAGCCGGCAGGTTTGCAAGCCCGGCAGCCGGAGCCGCCGCCACCTCTGACACAGGGCCATGTTCCTTCAAACCCGTACCTACATCCTTAAACAAATTATCCTCGACTCCTTCACCGGATTTCTCATAGGTTTCCGGCCCAATGACGCCCAAGCCCATTGGCTACGGCAGCTGCCACTCTAATCCGAGACCACCTCCAGGAGCTCCGAAGTGGTCCGCCCCACACTGCTTGAGCGGTGGTGTGGGTGGTTCCGGCTGGCCGGAAGACCTAAACTGTTACACACACTCCCAATCCCGAAACTTGCAGTTTCAGCTAGGGGTAGCAAGAGCATATTCTGCAGCGTGGAGGAAAGGGGAGTGAAAACTCATGAGAAATGAGAGTGGGAGAAAAACGGAGGGGAAAGGGTAGGTAGTCATTTGCTTTTAACCATAGGTTTTCTTTTATATCGTCTTTACTGGCAGGTAGAAAGCAGGGGGATAGACGTTGGAACCAAGTGTTAAATCCTGGACCTGCCATTCACAATATAATTTTAGGTGGATTACTCCGTTTCTTCTAAACTTCGATTTTCTCATATATAAAATAGCAATAGAGGCTCCTGGCTGGCTCAGTCAGGGGAGCGTGAGACTTTTGATCTTGGGGTTGTGAGTTGGAGCCCCCACTTTGGGCATAGAGATTACTTTAAAAATCTAGGGACGCCTGGGTCGCTCAGTAGGTTAAGCGTCCAACTCTTGATTTCTGCTCAGGTCATGATCTCTTGGTTCCTTGGGGCTGATCGTAGCAGAGGGCTCTGCGCTGATTGGCATGGAGCCTGGTTGGGATTCTCTGTCTCCCTCTCTCTTTGCCCCTCTGTGGCTTGTGCTCTCCCTCTCCCTCTCTCTCAAAATAAACATTAAAAAAAATTTTTTTTTAATCTTAAAAAAACAAAATGGGTATAATAATAGTAACACTCCCAATTGTCGAGGTTAGTTTCATGTAAATCATGAGTGGTACTCAGTAATGGGCTATAATAGCGACATACCGTTAGAATAAATAAATTTAATAGCTTTGGGGCTGGACCAAAGAATCTACAGAGGGCACTTCTTGCAATTTCTAAATAGTCCTATTGCTTAAGAGGGACCTTAGCGACCCCTTAATTTTACAGATGAAAGAATTTAAGGTCAGAGAAAATAAATGACTTAAGGTCAAACAGTAAGTGCTGATACTAGATTTTGAGTCCAAGTTTTTTTTTTTTTTAACGTTTATTTATTTTTGAGACAGAGAGAGACAGAGCATGAACGGGGGAGGGTCAGAGAAAGGGAGACACAGAATCCGAAACAGGCTCCAGGCTCTGAGCTGTCATCACAGAGCCCGACATGGGGCTCAAACTCACAGACCATGAGATCATGACCTGAGCCAAAGTCGGCCGCTTAACTGACTGAGCCACCCAGGCGCCCCTTGAATCTAAGTTTTACACTCTTCTACCACACCATGCTATCTCTGACAATAGAATTTACTTCCAGTATACTCCATCACTTCAGAAAGAGGCACCTGACCCTAGAATCTTAGCTTTCTGTTTCCTACACAAGACCTTGCCTCTCACTCCCATCCTAGCTCTCCACTTCCTTTAATCTCTTCTTACTCCCTGTGATATCTAGGACAGAGGACTGGGTATATTTGGTTTATTTTATACAGTAAAAATTGAAACACGGTCACATTTGTGGTAAAGTATGAGGGGAAATGGACTTAGGAGCAGCTGTAAGGTTCTCAGTAACTCCCCTTTGTCCCCTCACCTGAGGGTGGGGATGGTTAGATGGTTCTCAATTTTCCAATGGTGATGGAATCAAGAGTTGTGGAGGAAGAGCTGTCAGAGAAAGCTGTTAAATCTAGGTTTCCAGAGGCCAGAGGTTCTTTCTGGGGAAGGCAGCAGTTGATTTGAGTCACAGGCATCACTCTGGATCTTGGCTCCCTCTCCTGGTATGTTAAGACACCCTGAAATAAAAAAAGAAACAGACAAGACTGTGGAACAGGAAAATTACTTGTGTGTGGGAGGGGTGGTGTGGAGGGCTGGGAAAAGGCAGAGAGGATTTTAAAATGGCGTTCAAAAAGTGTGACAAGCAGAACTTTCCCCATGGCTTTGCACCAAAAGGGTTGGGAATGTTACATTGCAGGTAACAAAATGGTAGGTGCTCAGTATTGAATTAAGAATGTATCAATCACTGTATTGACTTAAAACTCCAAAGGATAAACTTACTGACACATACATTCTTTGATCATTGTACCTTGTCCTCTTTTGTCAGATACTAGAGGGATGGTAGAATAAGTAGGCTACACTGTTACGGCAGCTTCCAGCACTCATCCCTCAAACATGCACTGACTGACTGTATGCAATGCCGTGAACTGAGGGCTCATGGGATACCCATCAATCAACGACTACATCATCACCTATGTAACTTGTGTTGCAGTGGAGGAAGGAAGGAATGTCAGGAGTTATTACATTTTTCTCCTTGTAGCAAACAAGCCAGCCAGCTAGCAAGGAATAGCAAGCTAGTTAAGACCAATGCATTAATCATCTGTTCTTTTACAATTTCTGGTCTGTGACCACCATGTCTCAGCCTCGGGGAATTTTAACCCACTAGTCTGCCTGGGAAACATCTATCTCTAAAACTTCTCTTACCTTCCACCCAGAATATCACCAAACACCCACTATGTGCCAAGTGTGATGCCTTCACTATCATTTAATTCCAAGAACCCTGACAAGTAATAGCTCTTTTCATGCTCTCTTTAAAACACAGAAAACCCTCAGAGAAGTCAAGCCTCAGTCAATCCGAATCCAAAGCCTGTGTTATGCCATGCCGTGCTGCCTTTCAGTGACCAGAACAGTCCTAATGCATTATGTTTGATAGCAGAGTTCCCGTTTTCTCTCCAGGGTACATCACTTGGAGAGCCAAAGAGGCCTTTAATATAGAGTGGAGAAAAGGGTCTAATAAAAAGCCAAGAAAAGACCCGTCTTACCAGATTTTCTCTGACCAAAGAAGAAATAACTGTTTAGAAAATAATGCCAGCAGATTTCACAGAAGTCCAGGGAAAAAGCAATCCTCAGTAATGGGTATCCTAGACCATTAATCACATTTTGGGAAATTCTCAGCTTTACTCCACTTTTAGAACATCACCAGTTAGCTAAAGCTTTTGTTGAAGAGGTGTTGTATTTATATTCCTAAACTACATATATGTAAGAATGCTCTCCATTGAAGGTAAAGTACATTTCCACTTGTCACCAGGATCAACATATACCTCCAAATTTATCCCAGCTCTTCACAAAATTTCTCTGTACCCAAGAAGTAGAAAAGATACCGGAGGTAAAAAAGCAAAATTTAAGAGGGTAAAATATATAAAGGTTTGTCATTGTCACCAAATGTTTTTGAGGCCCAGAGAACCAGCCAAGTGGCTAAAAGTAGGTGGTGTGGGGAGATTATATTTACTTAAAACAAACACATAAAAAACACCCCAAATCCTTAGTGATGAAGATGCAGGTGGGGCCAAGGTTTTACTTTAAGATGCCAGAAAAAAGGAGATAAAGTCCTGCCACATTTGCTGATAAATAAAAAGAGGGAAACTTCCTACCAGGGCCTGGGGATGAGTTGTTTTCGGGAAAAAAAGGCCTTCATCTCACCTAGAATCTCTGATTTCCCTTCCCCAAGACAACTCTTGAGTCTGTAAAAGAGAAGCAAAGACAGAGCCATCTCCAAGCCCCCTTCCCCTTTAAGTGACCCTGAGGTGTGAGGTAAGGCCAAGGGAAAAAACGTAGCAGTCTCCCAAACACAGGAGCCATTGCAGGGATGTGTCAGCTTAGGTTGATGTTGGAAGTAAAAAACAAAGGTCAAGAGCAAAGTACTCTCAAAGAAGGTCCTAGGTACAGCTCTAGAAGGCAATGTACAACCAAGCCCACTGCCCAATAATCAAGATCTCAAATTAATCCTTTACTGATCTCTACTGCCCTCGGCGATGGTTGGCTGTTTAGCAGACACGGGATCTTATGTGTTGTTTCATACAAGTGGAAAGGATTTCTAGCCATGGGGAGGAAGAAACAGGGAACTGGACAGGGCCATCTCCTCTCTATCCATTCCAACTGAAATACCACAAGGAAAATGCACAAAGTTTCAAGTTCTCTTATCTTCTCTTTCCCACAAATTATGTGGCAAGAATAAAGGAGACATAATGGGGATGAGGAAGTAAAGTTGCTATGAATCCAACAGATCCAGGGCAGATGGGTTTAGCCAGCACACTTTTGAGTCAAATAAAACCCTGCAGCCTGTGTTTTTTTTTTTTTTTTTCTTTTGACACTGCTCACTAGCCCTTCCACCCATGTCTGTATTTTCAACTTTTGACTCTTGCTACAGTGAGAACAAAGGGTAGGGGCAGAAGAAAAAAAAATGATGGTGCCATTAGGTAACTACAGTAGCAATTCCTAAGTAGACCTCAGCGTTATGCCCTTTTCCTCAGACTTAACTAAGCATCAAATGCGCTCTTCCCCAGCAGTTAGAAGCAATTTGGCAGTTTTACACTGCACTTGCTCCTTTCCTTCAAAGCACGCGCTTCTCCTTACTTCTATGGGGGTTGGGGGGGGGGGGGAAGGGAGAAGAGGATGTTTACTTAAGAGCTATCTCACTTGCGTGAACCTCTTGTAGCTTTGTCTATGCAGTCTCAGTGAGTTATTACTCAGCAATTGTGAACAGCAGCTGACTGGACATGTCCATAGTTACTCATAAACAAGTATGAGAAACGCCCCAATACCCCAAAACCCATTTGGATGATGTTTGTGTTACTGCCTACATACATGAGTGGGTAACGCATCCCTCTTCTACAGAGTGCCTTAAATAAAACAATTCAGGGGTTTGAAGTTGTGCATTTTCAACATGCCCAGAAAGGCAAATGTGGAAGTCTAAAAGCTGTTGATTCCTTGGGGGTGGAGAAAGAAACCAATTGGGCAAGTCAAAGTGCTAAGAGGGGATAAGGAAAAGGGTGAGCCAGATTCCAGAAGCAGCCAATACAACTGTATGCCCTACCTACTGGGTGTATTCCTAGGCTGCTATTTCTGAAGTGTCCAGTGACGTGTGGAACTTCACGTAATGAAGGTTGCTATTTAGAACCTTTTACCCCGCCAGTGACCTAGGTGGGGTCCAGATGTGGTGACTCTCTCTTCACCCCTTAAAGCCAACATTCCTTTTATTAAGCTTCACTGGGGTATGAAAAAGGGATAGGGCAAGAGAGGGTTAAGTGTGGCTTATGTATGACAGACTGCCATTCACAGCAAGAAGGGTAGATGTGGGAAAAGAATGAACCAGAAGGATCCCTACCACCACCACCCCAACTCTAGGCTTGCTTCAAAAATGCTTCTTCACTCACAACTGTACAACTTTTTGAAGACATACACAAATAGTTATCCATACAGTATATCCTACTTCATTACCAACCACTCCCTTAACATCTTGATTTTACCCCACCCATCATCCCCTTTCCAAAACTGAATTACACAGAGGATCAAACAGAAAACCCACACGGCCATGAAGATCACAGAGGCTCAGATTGCCTTCAGTGACACCGAGCACTGGAAGTCAAAGGGAACACTTAGATTAAGATCAGTGTGAGAGGGGGAAAGTCAACCACACAACAAAGGAAACCATACTTTATTAAACTGGAAAACAAAAACATAATATTGGGGACAAAGAGATTAAAAAAAAAAAGAATGGCTGGAAGACAGGCAAGTGCAAGTGGTCACAAGGAAGGGACAAGACGGGTGGTCTGTGGTATCTGTGCACCTCAAACGTGCAGGCACACACCCCGTCCCCTTGACCCCCGTCGCACTTATACCAAAAGCCAATACAATCAGATCTTCAGAGATACATCCAGGCCTTCTTTCTGCATCCTGTAGCTGGTTTCACCTTCAGCCCTGGACAGTCATGTAGGGTCTTTGCTGGAGAAAATTTAGATTTTCCAACCATAGGTCTGCTCCACAAAGCAGCAGTTTCAGCTCCTGAAGAAGTTTTCTCTCCTAGTTGTGCTCACCACGGAAGCCAGGAGACCTTGGTCAAAGCCCGAAATCTCAAAGAAAAATGTCAAACCTTCAGAACTAGTTATTTTATTAAATGATATTAATACACATTTCAAAAGGATTTCATTGTTGTTGCCTCTAAAGCATGTACTTGTTTTGTTTTCCACACTGAACACGTGAGAATATCATTCAACATATCTAATTTTAATCTTAACAGGCACCCCCACCCATTCAAAAAGGGGGGGGAGAAAAAAAGGGGGAGAAAGCAGTATTTTACAGCGGCTTCAAAACAATTAACAGCTGAAGCTTAATTCTGCATGACCCGATAACTTCAGGACTGATAGTGAATATTCTGCAATTAGGAAGTTTAGCATATTCACATTATCCAGATAGGTTAGCTGTACCATATATATCACAAACGTTGTATTCCTGGGATCAAAAAGGATAAAAGTCCTACTCTCTTATCATTTTACCCTCCCTGGCATCAAACCAAAATCCATTTATGCTCACCTTTTGGGAGGGCAGAGAGAAATAGGGAGGGGGCTGTCATCTAAGCTGACTGGAGAGTAAACTCTCAATACTTAAGGACTTGATTTCTGATACTATCACTGCGTTTTAAGCAGTACCAGCATATTCACGACCCCCCCACCAATTCTCTGTCTGTGATTTTACAGTGAGCACCAAGGACCTTAGTAACAACTTCGCATATTCTGATTTCATATAAATCATGTCCTTGCCAAGACACACTATGTTATGCTTTCTTTAAAAAAATCTTGTTTATTATATTTTTAAACTCAGGTTGAAATACAAAAGTCAGAGCATGGGCGTGGAGTTTTAAATCACAGACACAGAAAGAATAAAACCCCTTTGTTTCATGTTATGAATACCAGAATTGTCTTTTTTCACTATATCACATATATACACTGTCATCTTCATTTACTGCTGTAGACAGACTTCCTTAAAGTTAACACCCGACAGTCACATACAAATCCTCCCGTCCATCCTGAAACAAACTCAATGAGGATTTTGTAGCTTAAAAAACAAAACACCCCACAAAAGAGCCCAACCCTTAAAAGTCCATCTTTTAAACTGTACAAGGTCTTCCTTTCATGTATTAGTCATCATGCTTTTGAGGACAATCACCCTGCCCCAACATTTAGGAAGCCACTTTCCTGACATCTCCACATTTTCTGATAAAATCAAATGGTCAGAGAGCCTTTTCAAGTAAACGTTACTTTTAGCTTAAACAAGAGCAGCAGAAAGAATTCACATTCTTTTATTCTAGAATGAAAAACATCCCACTTAATTTCTGCAAAAAAAAAAAAAATCCATTTCAGTTTTGAGTCAATTAGAACTCTCTCCCCCCCTCCCCCCACCCCTCCCTTTACTCTTGCTTACACTTTTCCCTAAACAAATGTCTCAGGACTCAACATAACTATATCATTTCTTTGCTTTGCTACACTATACACCCCACTCCACACAAAAGGTCATGGCATCATGCATTTTTGTGGGGGAGAGCTATAGGGCGGAGAGTCTTGAGAGGGTCAAAGACAAAACAGTTGGCTTAAGACCAGAAATGCATCAGGAAGATGAAGGACTCGTGGCCTCCTAGCCACAGAGCACATGGCGAGCCCAAATAAATAACATGGAATAAATTACACAAAAACTCCCAAACTATGACGCACACCTGGTTTAAGCTGCTCTTGATCTGAAAAGCAAGTTTATGCTGACACAAAGAGTCATCTTCTGTCACTATGTTGTCCACTCTCCCCCATCTTTAATATTTTACTAGAGGAATCCAAAGCAATCCCTATACTTCCTACAGTTCTATACTCACATAGAAGAAAATATGAAACTTGCTAGGATTCCCTAAAAAAAGAACACATATTGTTTTACTCATCTAGCTGGATATTACCAGTGTGTATACCTTGGGGTAAGACACTAAATAATATAAAATAATAGTAAAGCAGTATTTGCTTTTCAGTGTTCCTTGATATAAAGTTATAAACACTCAAAGCGTACTGATTGTCTTTTTTCCCAGTACTAGTTGTGGAAATATAAAGAAGCCTTTCAGTTTGGGGAGAAGGAAAGCAAACCATTCTTGTGTAAAATGACTAAGGGCAGAAACATTCTTTATTTCCTAGGGGAAGCGGAAGGTGGGGATAAGGCTTGAGCCTTGAAATGTGACAGGCTGCTAGCTGTAGAATGGGGGAAATTTGGATTTCTCAGGTCCTCCTCTGTAAAGATATGTATACCCACTTGTCACTAAAACACTTCTGAAGAGGTAGAATGTATAGCAAGATGCTATCCAACCTCCTCCTTTGAAATACCAAGAACAGGGGTAAATGCAGGACTAGGGCGAAGAGGAAAGAAAGATGCAGGTCAATAGTTCCCTTTCCCTACTACTCCACCTTTGCTGAAAACCATCAAGCATCACTTAACATTTGGGAGGCATCATGGTAAAAAATCTATCTCTTACATTAAAAAATTCAAAGGTAATATTTCAGTTGCGCCTTTATTAGCAATTGTCAACTGTAGTGACTTTTCTTTCTGGCCAAAGCAGACGTGCAAACTGAGGGAGAAAAAGTCAATCAAGAAAGAATAGCAGGAAGCATGAGCTTGGTTGCAGGACGTGCCAAGCTATAGAAGTCTCCCGTTCGCATTTATGAGCGATGGGCAGGTCACACGGCACTGTTACTGGTTCCTGTCTCTAACTCTAACATTGGAGGCACACCTTATTTTAACCTGGAGATTATATTTAGCCCCCTCTCTTTCATTCCAAGGATGAAGAGTAATAATTTTTACTAGGATAGAATGACACCTGTATCTCCTCAAAGTTCCAAATAGTCCTTTAGAAGAAGAGGTTCATTTCTTTTTTTTTTTTTTGGTAAGATTTTAGGAGAAAGGTAAAGAACCCAACTTCAATAGGTCTTTAAAAAACAAAACAAAACAAAACAAAACAAAACTTCAAAGTTCCACGGTCTCCCACCTATTTCCCCTTGCAACATCTCTCGGCTTGTCAGCAGGGCACAGAGCATACAGGAAAGGGAGCCAAGCTGGTCACAGTAGTTACTCAATGGGAGAGAGAGGGGGAAAGGGATCCTTCCATTGACTACTTGATAAGCCAAGCCCAAAGAACATCCCAACATTGCACGTTATTCTCTGTACTGATGGAAGTTTTATTTCAAATGTAATACTCTTCAGTAAATGGGTAAGAGTTGTTTTCCTCCCCATCCCCTCAAATCCCCAGCCAAATGAAGTGGCTCTGGTTGTGTTTCTTTGCCCCCCAGCCTCTGTAAAATACAAGTAGCTTGGGTTAAGTGCAGTGGGAGAGCAGACTGGATGGAATAGTGAAATGCAAGCATGTTTGACTTTTTAATTTCGAAGGGAGGCCCTTTGTCATTAAAAAAAAAAAAAAAAGATCAAAGTAAGGAAATCAAATAAAAACAATAATAAATCAAACTCCTACTTCCAATGCTCTCTAGACTGTTCAAAATGCTTTTCCCTTGGTTTCCATCAGTACCTGGGAGGGAAGAATGGGCGTTTTGGTGCAAAGAACGGAGGGCCCCTAGCAAAAGGTGGCCTGGGTCTCTTTAGACTGTGGAATGGGTCTCTGCTGAGAAAAGGTTCCCTAGGCCGAAAGTCTGGCCGGGGATTCCGCAAAATCATACCACTCCGGTTGATGGCGTCTCTGTGTGAGGGACCCAAGTGGGGGCCACTGCTGCTGTTGCTGCCTCCCCCACCTCCTCCTCCATGGGCTGGGCCCAGGTGCTCCAGAGAATGGGAGGGTAGGCTGAGGCTCTCTCGTACACGGCTAAGGCCAGGGCCGTTGAGGTCCCGTTGGGTGGGGCCCCCATGGTCCCTGGGTCCTGGGAGCACCCCAAAATGCTCAGCCAGGGTCCCTTGAAGAAGGGAACTATGGTCCTTGGGAAATACTGCCACAGCTCCCGCCACTCCGTGCTCTGCCAGTGGTGGAGCTGGGAAGGGTACAACCCCAGAGTGGTCAACAGGGGGTGGAGGAGGAGGTGGAGTAGAAAAGGGAACACCACTCCCACCACTGCTGCTATGTTCCCCAGGGGGTGGAGGAGGGGGTGGGGTGGGGAAAGGAACTCCGCTGTGCTCTCCAGGAGGAGGGGGTGGGGCAGCATGGGCCAGGGCCGCCTCCTTTGTGAAGGGGTTCGAAAGATCCACTGTGGGTAGATGAGTGGGTGCATCTCGAGAGAAGATACCCCCATGATCCTTAGGAGGGGCAGGTGGGGCAGATGACGGCCCCACTGGCTCTCTCTGGAAGGGTGTCCCATGTTCCAAGGGGGATGGGGGGAGATGATGCTCAAATGTTGAGTTGAAACTGTTGGAACGGAAGCTGCCGACACTTTCCTGAAATTGGGATGCCCGTTCCTTGTATGGTGCTGCTTTAAAGCCAGTGAGGCCTCCGCTGCCCCCACCCCCAAGGGATGCCAACTCAGAGGCACTTGTGGGGCCATTGTCAAAGGAGCTGCCTGAGGTGCTCAGATCAAACCAACCCACCCTTGAAGCCTCGCGCCCGTGTCCTCTATTTCCCTTCCCAGGAACTCGGACGGACTCTACGGTCTGTATCGGCTCCCCTGACATCCTCCTATTGGATGCGTTATGATAACCCAAGGTTTCTATAGGGGCCCCCTTCTCTTCGGTGCTGTCAGGCAAGTCTAAGCAGGAGGAGGAGACTCGGGTTTCTATGCGGTAGTGCTCTTCTTGCTGCTGCTGATCGGTGGCTGTCAAGCTGGGCTGGGTGAGGTTTGACAGGCCGACACCATCACTTGAAGTGCCCTTGCTGGGGGCCTGGCCAAAATGCTTATCATCCGAGGGCTTTCGCGAGGCATTTTTAAGCATATTCTTAAACTCAATCGTCGACGTGGTGGAAATGGTGGGGGCCAGGACTTTCTCCACGCCTGGTGTGGGTGGGTGGCCCGTGGGAGCAGCAAGGGTATTCTGCGGAGAGAAAAGGGAACGATGTGGGACTGGGTGAGGAGGCTCTGGGTACTGCTTCTGCGGCAAACCGAGATGCCCAGTGGTAGACTGAGACAAGCTATTGTGGTTGGAGTCAGGGGTGAAAAATGAATCATTCTTACTCGGTGACGGTGACCGGTCAGACCCCGGTTCACTCCCTCTTATGCTGAAGGCACCAAATAGCCCGGGGGAAGAGGAGAGACGGTCACAATTCTCACTAGAGTCCAGGAGAGCCCTTACAGATGGAGGGAAGGCAGACTTTACCCCGAATTCTTGGGCCCTGTGGCTATAACTGGAGAGGATTGGCTGGTATTCGGTGGTATCAGAGAGCTTGCTTGACTTCAGGATAGACTTGGCCGGCTTCTTCTCTAGGTTCATCATGGCAGAGGGTGGAGGCCCTGAGTATTCAAAATCTCGGTAATCCTCATCTTCCTGGAAAGAAGTATCTGGATAGAACTTCTCCTGTGAAGAGTCCATCAGGGAAGATGGCCTCTCCATTCCATCCGAAGGCTGTTTATAGGGTGATTCACTGCCCAGGCCAAAAGGTCGATATGTAGATACAGAATTGGAGAGTTCCCGGGGGTAGCTTTCCTCTCTCCCAGGGGGTGGTGATCTTGTACTGCTGGGTGTTGAGGAACCAGGGCTAATGATCTTAGAAAGCAGGGACATGGTGTCTACACTGCTGGATGTGGGCTTGTCCATCATCTCATCCTGGGTGGGCGTCCCACTCCGTTCGTCCCGCACAGGGGTTCCGTCAATGTTGTCAATTGACGTGCTAGTAGGCCCACGCTGGAAGTCTGAGGGGTGGCTTTCTGCTGGGGCACTGGACCCCAAGCTGCTCAGGATTGGGATGTTTAAGTTTAAGCCACTGAAACCAGGATTACCTTTTAAGAAGTTGTGGATCTTCATTTCCAGGCTTGGAGAGGTGGACTCAGACTCCAGCTTTGGCTTGGAGATCTCTGAAGATTGGCACATGGCAACTTCAGTAGGTGGGGCAGCAGGGCTAGTACTGTGGGTTCCTGTAAACCCCAAAGAGTTGGATGGTAGCTTAAAAGTAGTGCTTGGGAGCCCTGGGCTTTGCCCAATTGAGGCCTTGCTAGCTGATGTTGAAGAGACTTCAGAAGTTGATGAATTAGGAGAATAGTTGAAGCTTTTAGGAATAAAGGATTGGGTACTGGAGGACAGATTTCTTCCTTTGATGCTAGAGACTGTGGTGTTTGCAGGGGAAGCTGAAGTGCTCTGGGATGCAGCTTCGCTGGCTGGGACTGGGTTCCCAGTAACACTCTGAAGTAAAGATGACAGGCCTGTAGAAACAGAGATTAAAGGAGTTAAAAAGAACAACTGCCTGCCCTACAATTAAAACAATGTAGGCTAATCGGATATTCTCATTCATTCCAGCGGGAACCAGATAGACATTAAAATATGAGGCCAAAGAGAATCCAGACCAAACAAGCAATGGCTAAATGTCATAGAAAATACTGGACCTATTTCTCAATATAAAGAGAGCAAATTACTGAAATGTTTCTAGTACAGTCATCAAACAAGTCTAACACAGCACAATAAAAGGCAACAGGAAAGGGAAGATTTTAGTGTCAGAATCATTCATAGTTTAAACAAGACAAAGCAGGAAGAGAAAGGAGGCAAATTATCCTTAAAATAATACTTTAAGTCAGTATTTCTTAACATTTGATCTGTGGAACTGTTTCTGTAAATGCAAATAGATATTCCTTTCTAGCCTCTGCAATTGTTTCTAGTAAGTTAACGAACACTGTTATTTATTCTCAAGAGAGAGATCACGTATGCACATTGCTGAAATTTGTTTGAACAGGACACTTTTTTCAAGCATCTCTTGCTAGACTTTGGGGAAACAATGGTTTCGCTATCATTTTTGGTTGTAAAATGTAGCAATAGTAAACATGCAAACACACACCCCAAAGACTTACAAAGCTAGATCATCTTATAGCTTGGAAAATTTAAGAATTATTCATCTACCCAAGTTGACACTGATGAGATTCAACCCTACTCACTGATAGACAAAACCTCAGAAGCTCTGAGAAAGAATTCTTTGGAGTAAAGGCTGAAGTCCACCAAAGCAAACTGCTCCTCCTGTAGAAAACTTTTTAGAAAAATACTTGACAAAGAGATAAAAGGAGGTCCTATAAATTCAATCATGTGTTGGCAAATTTACTCAATTTCTGGTCATAAATGAAAACCTTTTGGGCATACTTCACCCGGATTTGTAGCTTTTCGTCATACACTAAAACTGTTCCTTCATAATGGTGTGATGAAAGACACCAGTACTTTATATGGTACTTTACTTAATGATTCTTCAAGATTTCAATTTTAATCCATATTTACCAACAGACTTAAGCTCTGAAGAATTCTGAGATTACTCCATCCTTGGAACATTAAAAAAAAATTTTTTTTTAATGTTTTATTTGTTTTTGAGAGACAGAAACAGAGTGTGAGCAGGAGAGGGGCAGAGAGAGGGTGACACAGAATCTGAAGCAACTCCAGGCTCTGAGCTGTCAGCACAGAGCCCGACGCAGGGCTCAAACTCATGAACCGTGAGATCATGACCTACACCAAAGTCGGACACTTAACTGACTGAGCTACCCAGGTGCCCCCATCCTTGGAACATTTTTAACTGCCATAAAGTTATATATTTAATGGTGCATGTTATCCAATATTCACTAATATCTGAATAACAAATATTATTTCAATTATCCTGCTGAAACAAACAAACAAAAAACATGTTTCATTTCCGAAAAGTTCTCTGGCTATGTAAATTCCCCCTCCTAACAGTTTGATTTAATTCTTAGCAGCCACTGTTCATACCAAAATCAGAAGTCCTCAAGCACTAGAACATGACATATGACGTCATGATTTTTAAGATATTTCAGCATATCTTTCAGATACTGTGGGATTTCTTCAAAAGATCATCTTGTTAAGATAGACACTACTCAGATTTCTGATAATAGGTGATATAGTCCCTTACCACTAAATGTTAATATTGGTCTTTGATTTTTTTTTTTTAAGTTTATTTATTTAAGAGAGAGTGAGAGAGGGAGAGCGAGAGAGAGCACGTTGTCAGTGCAGAGCCAGACTCGTGAGGTCATGACCTGGGATAAAATCAAGAATCAGACACTTAACTGCCTGAGCCACCCAGGCACAGCACCTTTCTTCAATCTTAACGGGCCATACTCTATTGGACTTTTTGCCCATTGAAGTCATTCTTTTGTGTTAAAAATCTGTCAATAATGGCTGTGGGTGACACAATCAGAGCAAAGTTCTAAGAGATCCCTTAGAATCTCTATAGGCTTTTAAAAATGCATCTATTTAAGTTGCTGGATAAAGTTTCTTAAAAGTCAAGCATTCTATCTTCCACAAGGAAATGAAAGGTGATGAACCACCCAGTTACTCCACAAAGATTGTCTTCTGGGGTCCCCAAAAACACATGCTGTCAGAACACCTAGTTCTGTTCAAATTTTGCCTGATGAGAAAGTCCACATGACGCTGGTGTCATAATCTACTGAAAGGAAAAGCTGTAAGTATTATTAATGTCCCCTGGAGGCTCCTGGTTGAGAACTTTGATACAGAGTTAAATCACTGTATTGAAGATATTGCTCTGATATTTATAATTCACTGCATAATTATACTGAGGTGCTAAATAATGATTGTGCTTGTATCTGGAGGTTTTGAGAATAGAGAGCAGGTATGTTTTATGAAAAAATATTAAAGCAGTTTTAGACACAAAACAGATAATTAACAAAGTATACTAGGTTCAAATAAGGTAGAGATTACAGGTACAGAGATGTGCTATACCTACAAATAAAGGCCTCTAAATTAGGACATAAAAAAAGAAAATCATTTCTCATAAGATTTTTGATGGTAGATTGACCTTTCTTACTGTCTTTAGCTTTGGTTAACATTAAAAATATAAGCCTCAACATATACTAACCGGTCCTCAGAGCTGGAATAAATGCAGCCCCTAGAGGGCTCATGGTGTAGGTAAAAGAATACTAGAATCCAGTCAAGCAATCTGGCTTTTAGTCTCAACTCATCACTGAGTAGATAAATTTGTAACCTTAAGCAGGTCACATCACTTCACTGAGCCTTATTCTCCTCACCTGAAAAGGAGGGGATTAGACCAGATGGTATTTTGTCTCTTTCAGCTTTGACAGTTTCTGATTCTATAAATGCCAGCTTGTAGATAAGAAATATAAATAAGACAATGAACTAACTGTATTATACATTTCATGGCTTTGGATGCTTCAGAACTGGAACCCAGGATTAAGCCAGAGACAAACAATCACAATTCAAGTCCCTGTGGCACAGGTCAGTTTACCTTGCAGTGCAGGGGCTGACTGTGTCTGGGTTTTGGAAAGAGCAGACAGAATGCTCTCTGGGGTGATCTCCACCTTTGAGAGGATATTTGCCAGAGGATTGTGAGATGTTGTCGGGGCAGGTGCAGGTGTTTTCAGGCCAGTGCTGAGGTTGCTGGGACTTGTAGGAGTTCCTGGAGAAGGTCTTGATGCAGGACTGACCCCTGGTGGCAGAAAGATTAACTCAAGAAAATTCGGTTCAAAATGACCATTAAACTCACAATAACTTTCCACTCACTCAAACCAGTTTGGTACGTTTAACAGGAATGCTTCTGTGACAGATCCACAAATAGGGCATATCATGGCTTGTACAAAGGAAAAAATATGAAAATTAGATTAAAATCTGCTGTCTACTTTGAACACCCCTAAAGTAAACAAGTACTTTCAGATGTATTTTTTAGTTTTGAGAGCCAAAAGAGACTTAGGGAACCTACTTCTTTTCTTTCTACCAAATGGCATCAACACCACAGAATCTTGTAGGTGCTCAGTAAATATTGCTGGCTCATTATGATCAGAGCCATTCCAATTGTGTAACTCAACCCACTGCATAATTCTATGTGATTAATAAATTATTTGCTTTTGAAAAGGCCTTTAAAATGAGATCATATAAGCAACTTCCTTTACATCTTTATATTTTATTTATTTTTTTAAGCAAGTTCCATGCCCAACATGGGGCTTGAACACATGACCTTGAGATCAAGAGTCCCATGCTCCACCAACTGAGCCAGCCAGGTGCTCCTACATCTTTATATTTTAAAACACTGTGTTAATTTTTAATTCAGAAAAAAAAGGGTATATAATAAAAAAAAGAATAATTTTTGAATGACAAAAATATGAATAGGTAGATATTTCACAAAGAAAAATAAAAATGAAAAAGTTTTTATCACATTGTTAATCAAAAAAATATAAATTAAAACAAGTTACTTTTTTTTAAGTAATCTCTATACTCAATGTAGGGCTTCAACGCATGACCCTGAGATCAAGAGATGCATGCTTGAGGTACCAGGCTTGATTCAGTTGGTGGAGTGTGCGACTCGATCTCAGCGTTGTGGGTTTGAGTCCCACATTGGATGTAGAGATTACTTAAAAGGAACTGCATGCTCTACTGACTGAGCCAGTCAGGCACCCCAAAACAAATGACTTTTAAGACTGAATTTGACAAAGATTAAAATAAAACAAAATAGTGCTGGAGAGGCTGAGAAACAAAGGGAACTTTCATGTGCTTGGTACATAAAATAGTACATTTTTGGTGATCATTTTAGTATAACATGAAAAGATTAAAAACCTGTATGTTGGCTGGGGGGGAGAGGGGAAAATGGGTGATGGGCATCGAGGAGGGCACTTGTTGGGATGAGCACTGGGTGTTGTATGTAAGCAATGAATCATGGGAATCTACCCCCAAAACCAAGAGCACACTGTACAAACTGTATGTTAGCCAACTTGACAATAAATTATATTAAAAAAAAAAACAAACTGTATGGGTTTTTTTGGTCTTTATATGAGAAATATAAATTTAAGTTTTTATAAAGAAATTAAGTAATTGGGATTTTCTTCAAAATTATCAAGATTGGGTAAGGCACAGCAGAAACCAGAGTGGCCATGTGTTTCTACTGTTGAAGATGAATGATGTGTATGTACACAAAGGTGCTCTACTTGTGTGTATTTTCATTAACATTTCCATTAAGGAAAGAAAAAGCCCTATATACTCATCAACCATTTAGGAAGGGTTGTGCATAGATTTTAGCATCAAGGTGGTTCATTATAGTATTCTTTAAAACAGTGAAAAATTACAAAAATATCAGATGTCTAGTAATAAAGGCTTAGATAAGTTCATATACAATATGCTTCAATTATTGAAAAAAAATTATTACAAATATTTAATCTACCAAAACATTCACAGACACACACACACACACACACACACACACACACACACACACACACACTGGTAAAGTTAGACACAACTAGCGTCTTTCAGGGTAGTAGGGTTGCAGGTTATTTATTTTATTCCCTTATTTTATTTTTCTATAATGACCATGTATTCATTTTTCGACTTAAAAAAATCACTGTTAATTTAAGGAAAAAAAGCAACAAAAAACCCAGACTGATGATGGTTCAATTAGAAAGATGAAAATAAGCCTTTTATCTTCTTTATGGGGCTTACTTACCAGTATTTTTCATGACTGATGTCAGGCTACTAAGGATGGAACTGATCTTTGCCAGATCCACATTAGCCAGGTTTGGCAAAGCCAGTGCTGGAGAAGGGGACAGAAGAGAAGTATTCACAGGCTTTGGAAGAGGGGGCGTTGCTGTCATGGTCACAGGCACTGGGGTACACGAAGAAGCCTTGGAGATACTTTCTGTTGGCTTTGTGGGTACAGAAGTGGAAGCAGCGGACTTCTCCGCAGGTTTTTCCTTCCTGTCCTCTACTGTTTAAAGAAAAGAGGTGAGACTGCATTACTGCTTTCCAGACTTGACTTCCAGTATGAAATATGTCCTAATATATCTGGATTTGGGGGTATAAAGCACAATGCTTTAGAGAAAAATCATTCACTCACTTCATCATTTTTACATAAGCCATACTCTTTATGTTGCTTCTCTCCTTCAACACCTGCTTAAAATAAATTTCCCAAATTCATTTTTTATCTTTTTAAAGATTTATTTGCATTTTCTTAGTATTTGTGTATTAAATTTGTACATTTCTGGGATCATGTTATTTGGCACACATGTGTTCTTTTAGTTACAATATTTATAGTCATAAATTACCCTGTCTTTTCTTTTCCATTAACCTGAGAGCTTTCTAAGACATAGAAACTTATGCATTAAATCCAACAAAACTCCAACTGCCTAACAAGAATGATTATAAAGCTTGGGATGTCAGAGAAACAATGCACCAATCCAGGTTAATTTTGTTTGTGTGCATGTGATATATGTTAGTTAGAATGTATGTAATCTCTACACCCAACATGGGGCTGGAACTCCAGACTCCAGACCCCAAGATCAAGAGTCACATGCTCTTCTGACTGAGCCAGCTAGGTACTGGAAAGACTGGGAGACTTTTTTTTTTTTAAAGTAATCTCCTCACTCGGTGTGGAGCTCGAACTCACCACTCCAAGATCAACAGACACGCCTACTTACTGAGCCAGCCAGGGGCATGGCTTTGGAATCTTGGAAGGTCAAGAGTGTAAGTGCCCCTCCTTCTAGAACAGTGCTGTTCAACAGAAATGTAATTCAAGCCACACATGTAAGTTTAGCTTTTCTAATGGCCACATTAGAAAAAAAAGTAGAGGGGTGTTGGGGTGGCTCAGTTGGTTAAGCGTCCAACTCTTAGATTTCAGCTCAGGTCATGTTCTCACAGTTTTCAGCTAAGTTCAAGCCCTCCATCGGGATAGGCTCTGAGTCTGCTTGGAATTCATTCTTTCTCTCTCAAAATAAATATAAATAGACTTAAAAAAAAGGGAGAAACAAGTAAAATTAACTTTAATTATATATTTTACCTAAGCATCTCTCAAATATTTTCATTCTGTTATAAATATAAAAATTATTGGGGCGCCTGGGTGGCTCAGTCTGTTAAGCGTCCGACTTCGGCTCAGGCCATGATCTCACGGTCCGTGAGTTTGAGCCCCGCGTTGGGCTCTGTGCTGACAGCTCAGAGCTTGGAGCCTGCTTCGGATTCTGTCTCTCCCTCTCTCTCTGACCCTCCCCCGTTCATGCTCTATGTTTCAAAAATAAATAAACATTAAAAAAAAAATTAAGAAACATAAATATAAAAATTATTGAGATATTTTCATTTTGGGTACTAAGTTTTCAGAATCCAGTGTGTATCTTTTTAAAAAAAAATATTTATTTTTGAGTGGGGTGGGCAGGGAAGGGCAGAGAGCTACGGTGGAAGAGAATCCAAAGTGGGCTCCACACTGACAGCAGAGAGCCCGATGCAGGGCTTGAACCCATAAACCATGAGATCATGACCTGAGTTGAAACCAAGAGTTGGATGCTTAACTGACTGAGCCACCCAGGTGCCCCCTTCCCCAGTAAGTACCTTTAAATTAGAGTACATCTCAAGTTGGACAAGCCACATTTCAAATGCTCAACAGCCACAAGTAAGTAGCTAGTGGCTACCATATTGAACAGAACAGATCTTGAGCAATGATTCTTAGCCCATGTGGCATACCAAATCCTAAACCGGGATAATAATACACTGCTGTTCTAATCTAATCTTGCTGCTCTTTTTTTTTTTAAATGTTTATTTATTAAAAAAAATTTTTTTAATGTTTATTACTGAGAGACAGAGCATGAAAGGAGGAGGGGCAGAGACAGAGAGGGAGACACAGAATCAGAAGCAGGCTCCAGGTTCTGAGCTGTCACCACAGAGCCCGAAGCAGGGCTCGAGATCATGACCTGAGCTGAAGTCTGATGATTAACCGACTGAGCCACCCAGAGGCCCCTAATGTGTATTTATTTTTGAGAGAGAGAGAGAGAGCACGCACGCGCGCAAGTGGGGGAGGGGCAGAGAGAGAGAGACAGAATCCAAAGCAGACTCCAGGCTCTGAGCTGTCAACACAGAGCCTGATGCAGGGCTAGAACTCACGAACCACAAGATCATGACCTGAGCCGAAGTTGGCCGCTCAACCGACTGAGCCACCCAGGCGCCCCTAATCTTGCTGCTCTTAATACCAGCTTGTGATAGATTCGTTGGTGGGAAAAGAAAATACGTAAGGAACAAGGTGCCCTTTAATCACATAAAGGACATACCAATGATTTTTGACCCATCATCTTCCACATCTGAGAGTTCCATGTCTTCCACATCACGATTATCTGTCACAGGCTCAGGTGTGGCAGACTTCTCACTCTCCATGGCTGGTGACTGGGATTCCTCACCTCCCATTCCCTGAAAAGGAGACTCGGAACCAGTTGGAGAAGGAGCATCCATGCTTGGGGAAGGGACTGGTGATTCTTCAGGATCAGGAAGGGTTGACTTCAATTGATCCAGCTTCTTCTTTAAATTGTTCACTCGATTAGCAAAGGTTTTGTATGCCTAAAAGAAAAAAAGAAGAGTTACTCCTCTGAGAAAAGGACTAAGATATTACTATTTTGACTTTGACCAGATTTCCTCATTATTAACTATAGCACTGGTACAAAACAAACAAAAAAAAAACCCAGGGCACCTGGGTTGTTCAGTCAGTTAAGTGTTTGACTTCTCAGGTCATGATCTCACGGTTCGGGAGTTTGAGCCCCACATCGGGCTCTCTGCTGTCAGCACAGAGCCTGCTTGGGATCTTCTGTACCCCCTTCTCTTTACCTTTCCCCTACTCATGCGAATACACTCTCTCAAAAATAAATAAACATTGAAAAACAAAATAAAAAACAAATCTGTCAATCATGGAGTAGTTTCCAGTCTCTGCTTTTTTCCTTAAATGAATATTATCATCCATATAGTTGCCCAAGCTAGAAACTTTGAGGCTATCTGTACTTAATCTTCCCTTGCTCTTTTCTATCCATTTTACCAAACCAATATTTATTGAGAGTTTAAATGTGCTGGCCAATCTTCTAGGTACTGGAGACACAGTAATGACTAAGAAGATAGACAAAAATCAAATCCATAAAGTACTACAGCCTGGGAGGTCAAACAGTGTGGACTTTTTTAAGAAATAAACTTTTGGGGGGTGCCTGGGTGGCTTACTTGGTAATGTGTCTGACTTTGGTTCAGGTCATGATCTCACAGTTTGTGAGTTCGAGCCCCATGTCATGCTCTGTGCTGACAGCTCAGAGCCTGGAGCCTGGAGCCTGTCTCGAATTCTGTGTCTCCCCCTCTCTCTGCCCTTCCCCCCCCCCCCCCATGCTGTCTCTCCTTCAAAAATAAACATTAAAAGGCATTGGTGGTATAGTGGTGAGCATAGCTGCCTTACAAAAATAAATAAACATTTAAAAAATTAAAGAAAAAAAGAAACTTTTGATTTTATTATTATTTTTAAGTTTATTTTTATTTATTTTGAGAGAGAGATAGAGAGTAAGCATGAAAGGGGGAGAGAAAGAGAGAGAATACCAAGCAGGCTCCATGCTGTCAGCACAGAGCCCAATGTGGGGCTCGAAAATCATGAACCATGAGATTATGACCTCAGACAAAGTCAAGAGTCAGATACTTAACCGAATGAGCCACCCAGGTGCCCCTAAACTTTTGATTTTAAAAGTTTTAGGTATAAAAAATTACTATAAAGATTATACAGAGAGTTCCCAATTTTCCCTTTTACTAACCTCTAATATTAGTATGATACATTTGTCACAATTAATGAACTGATTTTGATAATTATTATTAACTTAAGTCCATATACTTCATGTAGATATCCTCAATTTTTAAATAATTTTTTTAATGTTTACTTATTTTTGAGAGAGAGACAGAGCATGAGTGGGGGGACAGGGGAAGAGCAGAGAGAGGGGAGAGACAGACTCTGAAGCAGGCTCTGGGATGGGAGCTGTCAGCAGGATGAGAGCCCAGGATGGGGCTTGAACTCACGAATCGTGAGATCATGACCCGAGCTGAAGCTGGATGCTTAACCGACTGAGCCACCCAGGCACCCCTCCTCAGTGTTTATCTAATATCCTTTTCCTGTTCCAAGATCCATGCAGGATACTACAGTACATTTAGTAGTCATGTCTTCTTAGGCTTTTCTGTAAGTTTGTTAGATTTTCCTTGTTTTTGATAACCTTGACGGTTTTGAGGAGTATTGGTCAGGTATTTTGTAGACTGTCCCTCAAATAAGATTTGCCTGATGTTTTCCTTCTGATTAGACTGGGATTATAGGTTTTTGGGAGGAAGACCACAGAGGTAAAGCACTATTATCACCGTGTCATATCAAGGGTACATATAACCAATATGATGTGCCATTGTTGATGTTAACCTTTATCACCTGGCTTAAATTCTATTGCTCTAATTATCTTAATACCAATACCCTAAAATTGTCTGTCTTTTTCTTTTGTTAAGACTCTTGGATCATTAGATTGTGAGATCACTTTGGTAGATTGAACAAGAAACATTATTTCTTTGAGAGAGAGAGAGAGAGAGAGAGAGAACGCAACCATGTGCATGTGCCTGTGTGCAAGCAAGGGAGGGGCAGAGGAAGAGGGAGAGAATCCTAAGCAGGCTCCACACCCAGTGGGGAGCCCAAGATGCAGATGGGCCTCACAAACCATGAGATCATGACCTGAACCGTCCATAATGACTAAATACATGAATAAATTGAAGGTTTAATGATGAATAAGATATTTATTACATAGTTTCAAAATACCTCCCCATAAAACACTAATTATTACTTTCCCAGGGTTGTGGTAATAAAGTACCACAAATTAGATGGCTTAAAACAACAGAAATTTATTGTCTTCTAATTCTGGTGGGTAGAAGTCCAAAATCAAGCTGTCAGCAGGTCTATCCTTCCTTCGAGACTGGCCAGAATCCTTCCTTACCTTTTCCTTGCTTCTGGTGGTAGCCATCCACCCTTAATGCCCCTTGGCTTGCAGCTGCATCACTACAGTTATCTGTTTTGGTTGTCATATGATGTTCTCTGTGTGTTGTCTGTATCCAAATTTCCTTCTTATAAGGACGCACGTTATATTGCATTAAGGCCCACCCTAATGACCTCAACTTAATTTGGTTATATCTGCAAAGACCCTATTTCTTTCTTTCTTTTTTTAAATTTTTTTCAATGTTTATTTATTTTTGAGAGAGAGGAAGACAGAGTGCAAGCAGAAGAGGGGCAGAAAGAGAAGGAGACACAGAATCTGAAGCAGGCTCCAGGCTCTGAGCTATCAGCACAGAGCCTGACATGGGGCTCGAACTCACAGAAGGCGAGATCATGACCTGAGCCAAAGTCGGATGCTCAACCGACTGAGCTACTCAGACGCCCCTAAAGACCCTACTTCTAAGTAAGGTCACATTCATGTATACTAGGAATTAGGGCTTCAACATCTTTTTGGAGTACACAATTCGATCCATAGCAATTACCAAGTGAAAACTTTTCAATGGACAAGCCTGGAAGACACTACATTAACAAGATATCAAAAGAAATATAACAGGTAGTGCAAGACATCAAACTTGTGTGATGAGAAGAATACAATCAATTATGTGATATTCCTATTAAAGATGAGTAACATAAATCTGATCACACACAAAAAAATCACATAAATCCCAACAGGGAAAAATGAACTATTGGGACCTCATCAAAATAAAAGCATCTGCACAGTGAAAACAATCAGCGAGACTAAAAGGCAACTGATGGAATGGGAGAAGATATTTGCAAATGACATATCAGATAAAGGGTTAGTATCCAAAATCTATATAGAACTTATCAAACTCAACACCCAAAGAACAAATAATCCAGTGAACAAAATGGGCAAAAGACACTGAATAGACACTTCTCCAAAGAAGACATCCATCTGGCTAACAGACATATGAAAATATGTTCAACATCACTCATTATCAGGGAAATACACATTAAAATGACAATGAGATACCACCTCACACGTGTCAGAATGACTAACATGAACAACTCAGGCAACAACAGATGTTGGCGAGGATGCAGAGAAAGAGGATCTCTTTTGCACTGCTGGTGGGAATGCAAACTGGTGCAGCCACTCTGGAAAACAGTATGGAGGTTTCTCAAAAAATTAAAAACAGAACTACCCTATGACCCAGCAATTGCACTACTAGGTATTTATCCAAAGGATACAGGTGTCCTATTTTGAAGGGGCACATGCACCCCAATGTTTATAGCAGCACTATCAACAACAGCCCAAGTGTGGAAAGAGCCCAAATGTCTATCAATGGATGAATGGATAAAGAAGATGTGGTATATATATATATACAATGGAGTATTACTCAGCAATCAAAAAGAATGAAATCTTGCCATGTGCAACTACGTGGATGGAACTGTAGGTTCCATGCTAAGTGAAATTAGAGAAAGACAAATATCATATGACTTCACTCATATGTGGAATTTAAGATTCAAAACAGATGAACATAAGGGAAGGGAAGCAAAAATAATATAAAAACAAGGAGGGGGACAAAACATAAGACTCTTAAATACAGAGAACAAACTGAGGGTTGCTGGAGGGGTTGTGGGTAGGGGGATGGGCTAAATGATTAAGGGGCATTGAGGAAGACACTTGTTGGGATAAGGACTGGGTGTTACACATAGGGGATGAATCACTGGATTCTACTCCTGAAATCATTATTGCACTCTATGCTAATTAACTTGGGTGTAAATTAAAAATCAGTCAATCAATCTCAACTGGGGTACACTGTACAAAATATTTTGACTTATAATCTTCAAACATATTTAGAACATGAAAACCAAGGAAAAGAGAGAGGAATTGTTTTAGATCAAAGGAAAATAAAAATGCAATAAATGCAATATTATTCTGGACAGGATCTTTTGCCATAAAAACTGGTCATCTGAATAGGGTTTAAGTATTATATAATAATGGTATGTCAATGTATCAGTTAATTTCCTGATTAAATGGCTATACTTTACATTTATAAAGGAGAATATAATTGTCTGGCAGGAAAACACAAATGAAAATATTTGGGGGTGATGGGACGTCACCAACTTAGTTTCAAATGATTCTCGAAAAAAAATGTCTTCATAATGTACTTAAGATGTTTACAAGTACGAGAATGTTTCAAAATTTTAAACAGAATGAAAAACTGAAAGATAAAGATGAAGCAAAAAGATCAGCAGAATTTTACCAGAAAATCAAATTCTCTCTAAAAAGAAATGGGGGGGGGGGGGGATGATGGGAGGAAAAAAAAAATCAAATGGTGATTCTAGAACTGAACAAGTCAACTAAATAAAACTAATAGGTGGGTTTAACAACAGATAAGATTCAACAGAAGAGAATTAATGAATTAGAAGACTGGTTAATAGAAAATATCTAAAAGGAAGTACTAAAGAGAAAAAGGATGGAAAATACAGAAAGGAACATAAAAAAACACTTGGAACACAGAAAGGAACATAAAAAAGTCAGTGATGAGATCTAATATAC